CCCAGCCCCGCCCGTCCCCTCCCCTCCCACGCCCCTCAGGCCGCCCCGACCCCACCTTCTTGACGGCGGCGTTGAAGGCGAACTCCCCGGCCTCCTTGAGGTCGAGCCAGATCATGGGCATGCGGGGCACGGCCTCCATGGCGGCCCGGCCGCTCCCGGCCCCGCTCCCGGTGATCCCGGTGATCCCGCTGATCCCGATCCCGGCCCGCCGGAACCGCGCGGGGCCTCACGGGACACCGAGTCCGCGCGACACTTCCGGCGCCGTTCCCATGGCGACGCCCCGCCCACCGCCGGGACCACGCCCACTCAGGGCGGGACAAAGATCTGTTGCCATGGCGACGCAGCCCACGCTGGTTGGCTGAAGCGGGTGTAACCATGGTGACACCGCCGGCGCTGGTTGGAAGAGACAGGTGTAACCATGGCGACGCCCGGGCGCTGATTGGAGGAGACTGGTGTTGTCATGGCGAAGCTCCGCCCCCGGACAGGAGGGGCGGTTGCCATGGCAACCCCCGGTACCAGGCCCTGTCAAGCCCTCCCCGCACCGGCGCCGTTAATTACCCTGTTAATTACCCCATTAATTACCCCTTTCCTCACCTCCCGTGACGCATATTGAGGCCTCCAGGACCCCTCGGTGTCCGGGGGATGCCCCATCCTCTCCCCAAGCCTTTTCCAACAATGTGGAACAATCGGAAAAACTGAGTTTTTACCCTACAACATTCATTTATTGAACTCGTTAATTGAATTATTCGATCCATTAATTAATTGACCCATTAATTTATCTGCCCCATTAACTGAATCACTTGGCCCCTTAATTGAATTATTCCATCCGTTAATTGAAGGATTTGATGAGCTCTGGCACAGGAGCAGCCCCTCGGGAGCTTCCCAGATCCCAGAGGGACTGGAGCCATCTTCTTCCAGCTGGGAAAACCCACTCCCCACCCAGTTTTCCCATCAGGGTTGTCCCGGTTTTTCAGGCACAGGGACACCAGGATGTGGGCACAGGGCCCTGTGGACATCAGGATCCAGGGATACCGGGACACTGGGCCTCAGGGACACTGGGACACAGAGACAGTGAGTCCAGGTGACCCTAGGCCTGTCAGGGACACGGGGACACAGGGAGAGTCCCTGCTCCCCTGGGAATCCCCATTCGGGCACCTGGAGCCCCTCCCCCAATCCCAATTTATCCCATTTTTACCTAAAACAGAAGGAGACAAAGGCTCTCAATTGTGAATTGGAAAAATCACGGTTTCACGTTTAATTCTCTGGTTCTGGTGCAGCTGGATCCACGTTCTCCCACAGGGAAATTGCCACGTTGGCCCAGCTGCTCCTTCCATCCACGTCTGCAGGATAAATCCCTGTGGGACGAGGGCACTGGCACGGGGAGGGTGGGATGAGCCACCCAAGCCTGGTGCAGGTGACAAGGTGACAACCCTCCCCTGGACAGGGGGTGACACCAGCTGGACCCCACGGGGATGGGAGGTGTCCCAGATCAGCATTCCTGGGGGATTCCAGCTTTAGTTAACTACAGCTGGGTTAATTACGGTGACAGAAGCACTGAACCCACTTCCTGGGTCTTCCTAAATCCCTCTGGATCGGTGGAGGAGGAGCCTGGAATGGGAAAGGGGAAGAAGGTCACTGGCCCTGCCTGGGGGTCCCAGGGGTTCCCCTCCTATCCCCCTGGATCAGGGGTGTCCGGGGGTTCCATGACCACTCCCGGGAAGCGCCGGGAGAGGCCTCAAACATTCCCAGAATACTCTGGCAGCACTGCAGGAATGGCAGAGGCCACGCCAGGCCCCCCCACGCTGGAGCCTGCGGCAGGAGGGGCTGTGGGATCCCGGACACGGCCAATCCCAGGCTCTCCAGAACCATGGGAAGCTCTAGGAAGGCGTAGTTGGACAAGGGGTGACACGAGGACAGCCTGGGAACGCAGCCCCACAGCCCACGGGGTCACAGGGAGGGTCCCAGTAGCCAACCCCCTCCCCAGGCATTCCAGTGGGGTTCCAGCCCCGGGGACTCCCTGGGCGGGGCTGGCAGAGGCAATTCCAGGGAATGAGGGAATTACCAGGATGGGGCAGAGCAGCAGAGCTCACCTGGACACGTGGTGACTCCGGAGAAATCCCGCCGGGATGGAGGGACAGGGCTGTGTCCCGGGTCCCCCCCACAGGAGGGGCTGAGCCCTCGGGAGCGCTAATTAGGTAGCATTAATTAACCACAATAAGGCCAGTTTCGGTGACAGGTCCTCTGAATCCACCTCCTCCTTCCCGATGGCTTCGTCAACGGGGCTGGATCCCCAGAGCGGGAGCCTGGAATGGGAAAGGGCAGGAATGTCCCCTGCCCTGCCCGGAGGTCCCAGGGCTCCCCCGCTGTCCCCCCCCAAATCCCTCCCGGGCCCTGGGGGTGTCCGGGGGTTCCATAACCGCCCCCGGGAAGCGCCGGGAGAGGCCTCAAACGGCCCCTGGATACTCTAGCAGCGCTGCAGGAATGGCGGGGGCCACGCCAGGCCCCGCCATGCTGGAGCCTGCGGCGGGAAACCGCTCCCGATCCCGCCGGGATCGCCCCCGGATCCCGCGGGATCCCCTCGCCGCCCTTCCCACGTGCACCGCGCCTACCGCCCCTCACGGCCCGGTGCGGGGGAGGCGCCGCGCGCCGCGGGGGCCGCCCCGGGGAGCCCTCGGTGCTCCCGGGGCGCGGATGCGGGCGGATGTCGCCGGGTGCCCCAGGCCGGTCGCCCCTCACCTCCCGCCGCCGCCGCCATGGCCGAGACAACGCGCGCGCCGGCTCTGACGTCACCGCGGCGCGACGCGCGGCGACGCCACCTGGCAGCAGTAGGTGGGCGTGGTCACAAGGGGGCGGGACCTGAGAGCGGTGGGCGTGACTACAAATTCGGTATCGCAACTGGGGGCGGGGTCACAATGGGGCGCGGGGTGGGCGTGGTGGGCGTGGCCAATACGACGGTAGATCAACTGTGGGCGTGGCTATTTGGTGGGCGAGGCCTCGGCGTCGTGGGCGTGGCCATTGAGCTGTTCTTCAATTGAGGGGCGTGGCTTTGGCATGGTGGGCGTGGCTCGGGGCGCTGGAGGGTCGGCGCGTGCGCATGGCTGCCCTCTCCCCCTGGCGGCGGGCCGATGACGTCACGGGAAGGCGCCGCCCAAGATGGCGGCGGGGCCGAGCCGCGGGCGCTGAGGCGGCACCGGGACCGGGAGCGGGAGCGGGGCCGGGATCGGGAACGGGAACGGGAAGCAGGGCTGGAGCGGGACCCGGGCGGGCTATGGCTGCCACCGCCGCCGCCGCGCACTGAGGCCCCGCCGCGCAGCCAGGCCGGGATGCCCCGGAGGGGGCCCGGGCCGCCGCCGGAGCCATGGAGGAGGAGGGCAAGAAGGGCAAGAAGGTGAGAGCGGCGGCACCGCGGGGCCCCTCCGGGGGTCGCTCAGCCCCGGCGCGGGGCGCTCCCGAACGCGGGCGTGGGACCTGCGGGACCCCCGGCCCGGATCCCCCTTCCCGGGGGTTTCCCGGATCCTCCTTCCCGGGGGTTTCCCGGATCCCCCTTCCCGGGGGTCTGCCCGGATCCCGCCCCCTCAAAAAAAAAATCCTCCTTCCGATGTGAATGGGGGTGTCGAGAAGATCATTAATTGATGGGGTTATTATTTATGAAGCTCTTAATTTATGGGTTTGTTAACTTACTTAAATCAACTCTTTACGAGAATTAATCTCATTTCTATACCGGTTCATTTATACCTTTATACGTTTGTACTTCCTCGTGTCTCTGGGTCTCAGCAGCTGCCCCTGTTCCCACCTTGCCCTAATTTCCCTCATTTCAGCCCATTTCTGGGTCCTGAGGGGGAGGTTCAGCCGGAGCTGCTCCACAATCCTGGAGAAGGGGGGGCTTTGATCCCATAATTTTGGGGAGAAATCAGATACTTTTGGGGGGCCCTGGACTCCCAGGGATCCAAGGAAGGGGCAGCAGGTTCCCGCTGAGCCTCTGCCTGGGACTGAGCAAAACATTCCCAGAGTGAGGGAAAATGGATGGATTTCTTGGGGCATTGCCATCCAGGCTTCCCATGGAGCCAGACCTGGGAATTCAACCCCCCTGGTGTCACCTGGTGCCACAGGGGGAGGAATTACCCTCCTGGAGACAGGATGCTCCTGCCTTTGGGAAGGACTTGGCTCCCAAGGCTTCAGGTGGTGTGGGGTGACCCCAGGTGTGGGTCCCACCTCTTCCTTGGGATGTCCCAGTTTGGAGTCTGGATCCTCCTCTTAAGTGCTTGGACATGTTCAGCTGATCCCCCCACCGCTCTCCATCCCACCTGGATGATCCCACCTGTCCTCCTTCTGATCCCTAAATCCTCCTCACAGCCCCTTCCCAGGGCTGATCCCACATTTTCCAGTCCCTCCTGCACCGGTAATCTCGGACCTGTCTGTTCCTGTCCTGATCCCGATGGATTGTGAGCTCCCTGAGCCCCTCCAGAGCTGTGGCATCTCCTGGGCTGATTCCTTGGAGCCAGTTTTCCATGGGTTTGGGGGTGGATCACCATTAAACCCTGATCATTCAGCCGTGGAGTCGGGGGGCTCCATCCCTGTGTCCAGCTGCTGTTCCAGCTGCAGGGAAAACTCTTCCCCCTGTTTTTTTTCCACCCTGTGGATCCTTCCAGCAGCGTTCTGGGCTGAAGGGAGGGCGCTGAGTTCCTCAGGTGCTGATCCAAAGGGATGTCGGGGCAGGTTTGGGATGAGCAGGAAAGTCCCAGCTCAGCTTTGGGTAAAGCCTGAACTGGTTTAAACTGGGGGCCTGGAATTCCTGCCAGGAGCTGGTGTTGCCAGGATCTCACTGGGGGTTATCCCAGCAGGAATGAGCTGTTTCCTGGGCAGGTTTGGGATAAACTCCCATTTCCCATCCGGAATTCCCGCGGGGCCGTGGGAGCCTGCCCGGGGCTGGGAGCGGGTGGGGTCACACCTGGAGCCCCAGGTGAGGAGGGATGCTCCCGGCCTGGTTATTCCTGGGAAGAGGAGAGTGTGGAGGTGGATTTTCTGGGAATGATTTGCCTGTCAGGAGGATTTTCCTGCTGGTCTGACTCCGGAATCCGTGCGACGGCTGCGGGTGATCCAGAGCTTGCACCATGTCCCTGAAGGAATTCTCTGTTAGCATGAAATTCCTGACTTTTCCAGCTTGGGAGTGCCCTGGATGGATCCAGCCCCGTGCCCTGGGCTGATCCCACAGCAGGGCAGGGGGGGATTCTGCCCCTCTGCCCCCTCAGCTGAGCTCCCCCTGCAGAGCTGCTCCAGCCCTGGGAACAGCAGCAGGAGGACGTGGAGCTGCTGGAGATGCTCCTTGGGCTGGAGCCCCTCTGCTCCTTGGGGGGTCTGGGGGGCCAATAAAGTGGATTTTGGAGTGTCTGTGCTGTGGCTGCTGGGGGAGCAAACAGCTGCCTGTGGTTACTGGGAGATGGGGAACAGGGTGACAGATAAAATTCCACCAGCCCAGGTTGCTCCAAGCCCCGTCCAACCTGGCCTGGGACACTTCCAGGGATCCAGGGGCAGCCACAGCTTCTCTGGGCAACCTGGGCCAGGGCCTCACCTCCCTCCCAGCCAAGAATCCCTTCCCAGTATCCCACCTATCCCTGCCCTCTGGCAGTGGGAAGCCATTCCCTGTGTCCTGTCCCTCCATCCCTTGTCCCCAGTCCCTCTCCAGCTCTCCTGGAGCCCCTTTAGGCCCTGCAAGGGGCTCTCAGGTCTCCCTGGAGCCTTCTCTTCTCCAGGGGAACCCCCCCAGCTCTCCCAGCCTGGCTCCATGAGAAAGGTGCTCCAGCCCTGGCAGCATCTCCGGGGCCTCCTCTGGACTCTCTCCAGCAGCTCCAATGGGAATGACTCCTGGCTCCCATTCCCAGGATGGCCCCATCCTCCCCAAACCAGCCACCAGGTCTTGGGGTGCTGCTTCTCCAACCAACCTCCTTCTTCAGGGAGTTGTAGCCTCATTCCCAGCTTTGCTTTCCAAATGTGAAATCTGAAACTCAAAACAGAATCATGGAATGATGGAATAGTTTGGCTTGGAAGGACCTTAAGGCTCACCCAGTTCCACCCCTTGCCCACCTCCCACTAGCCCAGGTTGCTCCAAGCCCCATCCAACCTGGCCTTGGACACCTCCAGGGACGGGGCAGCCACGGCTTCTGTGGGCAGGAAAAAGCTTTCCCACCCATGGACTCAGTGGATCATGGGATCATTAAGGCTGGAAAAGCCTCTGGCATCATCAAGTCCAACCACTGGTCTCTACCCAGGTGCTGGAGCCAAACCAGCTCTGAACTCTGAGGAGAAACCAGGGCTCAGCCTCCCATGGGATGGGGGGATTTCCATCCTGGTGTGGCAGCAGCAAAGCACAAAGGATTTGGGGTGTTCCCAGGGATTTAGGGGTGCAGGAGGCGGGGTGGGAGGTGGGAATGGGCTCGTGCCACAGCCCCATCACCAGTTCCACCCCCAGCTCGACCTGTCACGTGGGAGGGAGGAAACTGTGGCCGTGGCACTTCCTGGCCCTGAGCTCCTCCATTCCAGCCCTGGCTCCCCCAAAGCCAGGGGAACAGCTCCCCCTTTCCCCCCAGAGCCCCCCCCGGCTCTCCCAGCACAGTTCTGTCCCATCTCCCGGGGAATTCCATGGAGGACGAGGTGGGTGCCGGGATCGGGGAGCCCCAAAAGCAGAAGCTGTTTCAGAGCTGCGTCACCGCGGGAGCTGCTTCTACCTCGGATTTGGGATCCCCAGATCCTCTCCCCGGAGAGCCTGGGGGGCTCGGGATCATCCCAGCCCCATGGAGACAGCACATCCCTGAGGGAAA